AGAGATTATGGTAAAATAAGATGTGTATATAGGTAATTTTTCCAAAAAAAAAAGCATAGTAATAGTGATAAATTTATTGTTAATCCTATTTAACAACGAATTAGCAGCATCATAAAATTATGTTCATCTATTGGTTTGGTTTAAAGTCATGAGTTGGGAAAAAAATCATCATTCTGGGTTAGTCATCTTCTGCTATACAAAAGAAATGACCTTTTTTTGTCTTACCAAGTCTTAATAAGAAAGTGAGAGATTTTGAAAAATAATGTATAGTAATTCTTTTTAATAAATTCATTTACCAAATAAGAAAGTATTTTTCTCAAATTGAAGTTTTTCTGAGAAATTTATTTAAGGTTTCTAATTATATTTTCTGTGAATAAGTTATTAATCCATTATAATTATTTATTCCAGAATCATGGCAAAAAAATCCCTACAAAAGTAACAACTCATATTTTCCTTTATCTTTTCCAATCCACTATTGATGCTCTTTTTTGTAGCTTAAAAATGAAAAAGAGATGCATATAACTAATGACCATGACCAAATGGATTGTGGTGCTCCGTTAGGATTACAACATTCTTAATTAGAGATCTTAGAATTAAGTTTTATGTATAGAAAAAATTCAGTTGAAGCATTATCCCTGAATAAAATTTGTAATGCGTGATTCAAATTTAGTCGGATCTTCAATGCAAGCTCCGAATAAAAAGAAAATGACACATGTAACAAATTGATAGCTCAACTTTCCTTTTTGTTGGAGTTCAATCAACTTTTTAAAAAGCAGAATAAAGTGTCCTTTTTCCAACCTTCTTTTTTAAAAAAACAAAAAATATTAATTCATTTGTTTTGTTGGTAGTGAATTTTTATGAACTTTAGAGGAATTAAACCATATTGATTTTTCGAAGAAGATGTAAGGTATCTTGGGAAATCCACAAACGTGATTATTAATGGATTTGAAAAATATTTTTTAAAAACTAAAAAGTCTAACTTATTTGTAAAAAATAAAAATGAAAAAAGAGAGTTTAAAGTAGTTCGATATAACACAATATATTTAGCATTTAATTACTCTGTTAGCTGTAATATTAGAGCTCCACCATAAGAGAATAATTAAAAAATGTACTCCTACATAATCAATTTGTTCATGGATTTGCACGAATATTATTCTAAAGTTAATCCTATTTATTTATTTTTATAAATAGTTACCGATGTGAATTTTTTTACTTGAATTTCTTATAACTGAACCCATTACAGTTGAATTATAGATTTTCAAGAAAAAAAAATCCTTTTAAAGTTTAGTTATTTTTTACATATAAAGTTGTAATAAATAGGATTCGGGTTCACTACACGGCTAGGGGTGTTCGTGTGTTCGTGGTTTGATTTGGATCGGTTATTGGTTAAAATCAAAACCAAACCAATCTAGTCGATTTTTTAAATTTCTAAAACCAAACAAACTAAACGAAAAAAATAATCGTCAGTTTGGTTATTATCTTGGTTTGGTTTGGTTCATTTTTCTGATTTTTTCGGTTGAAAGTAATAAAATTTTTGAGGACATACGTATCTCGATAGATACAAACACCTAGTACATGAACAATCTACCTGACTATTGTTGGTTTAATTAAGTAATTAAGCAATACTAGATTTATTATTACACAAACAAAGTGATTCAATTAAGAGAAAATGTGACTATCTTATGTGAGGTATGAGAATGTAAAGACTAAAGTAAAGGATTTTGATGGACTTGGACTTAGGATTGTAATAGTTGGGCTAAAATTTAAGTGTTGGACTTGAGAAAATTGTAAAGTTAAAGCCTTAAGTTAGTTAAAATTTAACAAAATATTAATATTTTATTTATGAATAATATATAAATAATTATAAAATTTATATAACTAATTTATCGATTCGGTTTGGTTATTTTTGCGGTTGTTTTTTCGTAAAATCAAAACCAAACCAAATAGTATCGATTTTCAAATTTTAAAACCAAACCAAACCAAATATCTGTTTTTTAAATCGATTTGGTTCAAATTGCAATTCAATTTGATTTTTTAACCATAACCATGAACCGTCCTAACTACACCTTATCCTAAGTATAAGCTACATCAATTATTGTTAGGGGTAGATTCAGTATGTTGATGATGAGTTCAGTCGAATAGAATTTTGATTCAAACTCTGAATTTATAGTGAGAAACTCATTGAATATGTATACATTATTAATTTAGAATCCAATAAATTAAAAAAATTAAAATTTCAAACTTATAAACTTTAAATAATGACTCCGTCTTTGTTACTATCTCTGTCCATTTTTAATTGTCATATTTTTCCTTTTTAGAGTCAAACTATTAAAACTTTGATTAACATTTTACGATGTATTTTTTCATCATATTGTTATACAAAAATTTGCAATTTATAGTACTTTTCGTATAGTTTTTTTAATATCTAAATTTTTTGTTTAAAATATTGAATTAATGTACTTTAATTTAACTTTGAACATTAGTCAAATTGACTTTCGAAAAGCGTAACACGATAAATAAAAGTGGGCGGAGGGAGTAGTTGTTTAGTGTGAACATAAGAAAACACGGTTGCATTTGTGAAAACCAACAAATTAGAATAGAGTAACATTGTCTAAATTATATTACATGATTTACAATGTGAATATATTCTTCTGAATAATTTATACAATAGTCAACCTTTTTGTTTTCTCCACTCTCTTTTGCTTTATTTTTTTAAAATTCCAAGTATACAATAAAATTGTATATTTTTCTTTTACTGAATAAGATAATATCTAGTGAGTATATGGTGGAGTATCATAAGAAAATGACAAAAATGATTTCTTTATGTTTTGGGGGTATGTATAAAATAATTCGAAAGTGTTCTTCGAGGGGGGTGGGGGGTGGGGGGCCGGGGCGGATTAAGTGTGAAATCACATTCTAGAGGTATAGTTTTTGTTATTTTTACTGTATTTCTAATGTTTGGTATATGTTTTCTTTTTATGTTCAATTTTTGTTATATTTGGTCCAATATAATTTTTTTGTTGTAAATTGTAATTTTTAAAATTTGATGAGACTTTATTAATATTTATGATTTGATATTTCTTTTCACAATTTTCACCAAATTTAGCATATATAATATATTAAACATTTGACTCTCATTTTTACTAATGTAAAAGATCAAACCATATAGAACACATTTTTCTCTAAAAATAACCTTTTTAAGTTTTATACATAATCAAACGATATCACATAAATTAAACGATATCACATAAATTAGGACGTAAAAAATATTTGTGCCAACGGACTTTGAAGGTATCAAATCACTTCTTGCAAGCTGTCATGAGACAAACAAGCATTGAAGATTTCCACATGATGATATTTAATTCTACATCAATTACTCCGTCTCGTTTTACTTGTCAAATTTTGACTTAATATACATATTAAGAAAATATTTATTGGTATAGTGAATTTATCATTTTACATCTATTAATTGTTACTGTCTCAAATATATTTATTCATTTTCTTCAAAGACATTAACTCAATATTAATAAATTGAGGATATAATAGAAAGACAAAAATTGTACTTCCTTGATTTGTCACAATAATCATCAAACTAATAAGGAAGGTTTACCTGGGAAGAGACTTTGGCTAATTTGACTCTTTTTTATTTACTTTTTGGAAGACTTGACTTTGCCATACTAACCCTCTTGACTATGAGGATTATCCTCCTTTTTTTTAAAAAACAATATTTTAGTTTATTTGAAAATTAGCGTTTGATTATAAAAATTTTAAATTCAATTTGGAAATTAAAAAAATCTTTAAAATTTAATGGTCTACAATAAGATGTAAATTTTTCTTGTTATAAATCATTTTATAAATAGAATGAAAAGTTTTAAAAATTATTTTCAAATATAGAAAAACAACATTTTTTAAAAATTAACTAAAAAGAAAAGAATGTCATGTGAATTAGGACTTATAGAATAATTAATTTGTTGCCAACTATTTAAATTCCCACTCTCTCTAGAATTTATTAGGCAGTTTCCATTTATTGGTAAAACAGATTTGTTAAATTGTTTTATGTTAAAACTTCAAATTTGTCAACTTGAGGGAAATAATTCTTGTCATATGCGTGTGGACAACAGAGAAGTTAAAGTTTTTGTTAATTTCTTTTTATTTTTCATCTGGTGTCTGATATTGTAGTTTAGAATCCAACAAAGTTTATATTTGTACCGCAAAGTCCCATATTAAGGGGTAAAATATGTTCTAATAAAAGCGACTTTCAACCTAAAAGAAATTGAGCCCAAAACCTTTAACTAAGACGAAGAAATATTTATCGTTCCACCACAACTCCGTCGATAGAAGTCAACTAACTAAATGCATAGGAAGTCAAGAACATGGGGGGACCCAAGAAAGAATTCTTCTTCTGACCATTTCATTCTTCTGAGAAAATGAAAAAAAAGTAGTCCTTCATATTTTGTTGTATGTTCAAAATAGCACTTTAATTATTGATTGAGTAATTTTAATCTCTTTCAAATATTTATCAAACTATGATTATTAGATTTAATTGGAACAAGAACAACAAATAAAAAACAAAAACAACAGAAATTTCATTCAACATTTCAAAAACCGCAATATAAAAAAAGTAACAGAAAAAGGTAAAAAATATTCTTAAACTATGTGAATAGAATAAAAATGCACCCAGTTAAATGTTAATAGTTTTAAAAATATCTTTGTTGTCAATGATTTTGACCCTTTACCCTAAAAACAATATCATACAAGAAAATAAATCAATATAATAGAAACTGCACATCAAAAAGTTGCATCAAACTATTGAAATATACTTTAAAATAACATAAATAATAAAAATTGTACTTTCAAATGTGAGATTCACTAAATTTGACAATTAGAATTTGATAAATATCTGTCAAAACAAAAAGTGCTCATTTTTGACAAACTTAAAGAATCAAAATTGATTAAGTAATACTTAAGGGACTATTTTGAACCAACTACCAAACATAAGGGACAATATTTGTCATTTTCTCCCCTCTTCTTTCTGTGTAACTTCCAATCAACAAACATAGTACGATTAACATAGTTTTTTTCATCTTAATTCATTCATAATCTTATATATTTAAGTTTTCTTGGATATTCATTTGTAGTAAAAAGATGGCAGGAGGTGGAGGAGATCAAGAAACAAATTTAGAATTTACACCAACATGGATTGTTGCCTTAGTCTGCACTGTCATAGTTGCTATATCTCTTCTTGTTGAAAGAATTATTCACTATGGTGGCAAGGTAACTCTTAGTTGTATGCATCACAAAATTTTCTTGATTTTTGTTATATGTTGGTTCATTATAGTAATTTACCATTAGTACTTCTGATATGTGTCATGTCTCTTTTCTTGATCATCCAAGTTTAAGAACTAAGACTATCATAAATTGACTAGTTTTACGCTTATTGTCAGATAGCTACACAACTAATAGTTATTATATCATAAAGTTACCTTCTTTGTTGAAGAAAATTTGAATCAAGAATGAAAAGTGATTTTTTGAGATAATAACTATTAGTGGAGAGATCATCTGAGAAATCAAGCTTCTATGTTGCTTAGACTCATCAAAAATGTTGCAGCACCTATTTTTTGGATGATTCGACATGCACCCTTCCATATTTTTGAAGAGTCCGAGCAACATAGATGATATGTATCATGTTTCTTTTCTTGATCAACCAATTCCCCTTAGACAAAGAGTTATTATTATCTGTTGTGGAGTATAACATTTCTAAAGTTCTGCTAAAAGAGCAATCTTTGATGATATGAATAACAATTGTGATTTTTATGACAGTATTTGCTCAAGAAAAACCAAAAGCCACTCTATGAAGCCTTACAAAAGATCAAAGAAGGTAAAAATTCTAACATCTTATTGTGTAATTCTGTTTTTACTTTAAAGATGCCTGATTAGTCCATATTCTGAAAAACATGATGAATTATGCAGAGTTGATGTTGTTGGGATTCATATCACTGTTATTGACAGTGTTGCAAGAGAGAATTCTTAAAATATGTATCCCAAAACACTTGACTAATCACTGGCTCCCTTGTAAAAAGGATGATGATGTCAATGAAACTGTCCACTTTCAGACTAATTTCTTCTCTTTAATTCCGGGAGGAAGGCGCCTTCTTGCTGAATCTGCTAATTCTGGTTATTGTGAGGCGAAGGTATGTCTAAATAAAAGGCAGTCCGGTGGACTAAAGCTCCTGTTGTTCACTTGTTAGACGAAAATTGGATTGTTTTGTGTGAAAGGGATGGGCCACATTGGGATATATTGCATGGGCCATTTAGTTTTACGTTGTATTTCTGCAAGAGGATGTTTTGATCACATAACGACAACTCTCACCGTTGTGCCAAGACTCTCTTCAACTAAGACCATTTTACTTTTCTCTCCGTCACCCGAATTGTCAAAATAGCAAACAAAAGGGGAATATAATTGCCAATCAAGATTCATAAACACAGTTTTAGTCCATATGCTGATGAAACTGTGATGTTTTATTTATCATATGCCCTTGATTGATGTGTCATTTCTATATACTTTCTCTTGTTGGACCTTAACAGGACAAGGCACCATTGTTATCTCTCACAGCATTGCATCATCTCCATACCTTTATCTTTGTGCTGGCTGTTTCACATGTTACTTTCTCAGCTCTTACAATTCTATTTGGAGGTATAAAGGTAAGGCTTTCAGTCATCTTGCTTTAGGTTTCTGAATTCATTATACATCTTAGTTACATCCCCTGTCCCCCCTTCGTTTTTCACTTATACACGATGACCTTGTGTTATCTGTGCAGATACGTCAGTGGAAATCTTGGGAGGATTCTATCCAGAAAGAGGAATATAATCCAGAAGAAGGTATATTGCCTAATGACTGTTGTGTCTCATTAGTATACTTCCCTTTGAACTAAATTGGACACAAAAAGTTTGCATAAGTACAGAGTACTCACAAGTCACGAGTTTAAGTTCTGTGCACCGACAGTAAGTTAAGTTGACCTGAAAAATATAGTAGAACTGATAGTGTATTCATCAGAATGTAATACTTTCAACATAGAGTGATCTCTCTTGTTGTCATCCTAATGAGGATATATTGTATCTGCAGTACTTCGATCGAAAGTAACACATGTTCATGATCATGATTTTATCAAGGGCCGGTTTCTAGGATTTGGTAAAAGATCAACTTTATTAAGTTGGCTGGTAAGCGCGGAGATTCTTCCATCTTAATCATCCTTTAAAGCATATTTTCATTTCTATATACATGTGTTGATGTGTATGTGCCTGTATATATATCCAACGGGTTAAGTTACACAAATAATGAGAGAAGTATTTACATCGTTAGTGTAATATAAGTTAAATTCTTTAGTATATTACCACTTTGGAACATGATCAAATGTGTATTTCTGCAAGTTGCTTATTACACATTTTGCTTCTATACATTGTCAATATTTTAGGCGCGTCTAACATTTTTCTATTTTGCTCGTGATTGTCAGCATTCCTTCGTCAAGCAATTCTTTGGATCTGTCACAAAATTGGACTACACAACCTTGAGGCTTGGCTTCATTATGGTACATTTACATTAATATACTGGTTTTATCTTTTTTATTTCTCCATGAAGCTCAACTCTTGCTGATTTTTCCGCCTTAGACTCATTGCAAGGGGAATCCAAAGTTCAATTTTCACAAGTATATGACACGCGTGCTTGAAGCTGATTTCAAGAAAGTTGTTGGGATTAGGTGAGTTACACAATGGTCACCAAGTGAACAAAATGGAAAGAAAACAATGAAGCATGATGTTACTGTTCAAAGTTTTGAAATATTATCTGTATAACATGATATCCCTTTCTCCTCTTAGAGGTTACTCGTGTGTTTACCTCAACGACCAACATCTCATTTTCTTAATGTAACTTATCGTCAGGTTCAACATTTCTATCCAAGCACGTAACTAGTTCTCTATATAATCAACTTCAGCACTTGAAAAAAAAGACTCTACTTGATGCTTATCAATTATTTTTAGTCGGAGTCAAACGTGCTCTTAGTTCCTTTTGATTTTCAACTTGCTGAACTTTTACTATTGTTTATGCAGCTGGTATCTTTGGGTATTTGTGGTCTTGTTCCTATTGCTTAATGTTCATGGTGAGCTATATCATTTACTGTTTCATCCCCTTTTCTTGATTTAGCATAACTTCATTTGGTTTTGAGCCTAGTTTAAGAGCTTATGTTTCAATTATGACCCCCTCTTTCATTTTCTCCTTCTATCTGTGTTTTGAAGGGGAGCCTTGGAGCAACGTTTAAGTTGTCTCCGTGTGACCTATAAGTCACGGGATAGAGCCGTAGATTGTCTTGTATCACACCCCTTGGGGTGTAGCCCTTCCTCGGACTCTGCTAATATGGAATGCTTTGTGCACCAGGCTGTCCTTTTATACCTGTTTTTTTAATTTCTCACTCACTTTCTATTTGCAGGCTGGCACGCATACTTTTGGATAGCATTCGTTCCCTTTGGTGTAAGTAATCAGTACAATCAAGAACTACTAATCTTTGTCAGTACACCTTTGAGCTATCGAAAATCCTGAAAAAATGGTTATATTATTGTGATTATGCAGCTTTTGCTTGCTGTGGGGACTAAACTAGAGCATGTAATAACTCAACTTGCTGGAGAGGTTGCTGCAAAACACATCGCGGTAGAAGGAGATTTAGTTGTGAAGCCATCAGATGATCATTTCTGGTTTCATAGACCGCGACTAGTCCTTTTCCTCATTCATATCATCCTTTTCCAGAACTCCTTTGAGATTGCATTTTTCTTCTGGATTTGGGTAATCTTTAAAAACATAACATTAAACGCTCAATGTAACAGTTGGTATAAGCTTTTCGATTCACATTTCATTCCATTGCTAATTGAGATTATTGCGTTCTGTTCATTGACAGGCTCAATATCGTTTCAACTCCTGCATCATGGGACAAGTTGGTTATATCATCCCTCGACTTGTCATAGGGTAAGTTCCCCGTCCTTTCTCTTCTAGACGAGGAAAATGCTTACTTGCATCTGGTATTTACACCAAACCAAACAATGTACGTAACCATGAGGGTCACAAACACGTCTTGTGCTCACTTTTCACAGCTATCTAAGTCCAACATGTCTTACCATAAACGCGTCCAGGCCCAATTATGCTGTAGTTGAAAAGAGGTTTAGATTTCACATTTATGTGAATACTAAACATGCTATTACATAATCTAATTGAGTTTTTTTGCAGGGTGTTTGTTCAATTCCTTTGCAGTTATAGTACTCTACCACTATATGCAATTGTCACACAGGTGCATCTTTCTTGTACCAACAAAATACTTATCATTTTGGTTTTATAGATTCATTTACTTATAACTTTCTTTCATTTGATGCATGATGAATGCAGATGGGAAGTTCCTTCAAGAAAGAAATATTCGACGAGTATATACAAGATGGGCTTGTTGTTTGGGCTAAGAAGGCTAGAAGGAGAGCTGTCAATGGCTCCAACCAAGTAGGACATAAAGAGTCCACTTCTCCTATGGCTGTGCAGCTAGCACAAGTAGAAACACAAGTATCTGCTATGGAAGAGGGCAATGGGGGAGAAATTAGGCACGCGACCGACCAACTCAACTCCAAAGTAAATTAAGCCAACAACCAACATTCCTCAGATATCTCAAAGCTGTTAAGACTGTAGAGAAACTTGTAAAAAGTGAGTTATGCAGTACATAACTCAGCAAGAAAAAGAATGGTATAAAATTTTTTTTGGAGCAAACTCAGTTTGTACTAATGTACTAGATATATGTTGATTACTTTTTTGTTTTAATTAATGTGATACAAGTGTAATTTGGAGCCATTCAAAAATTTATATTTTTTAAAAAGATTTTTAAGTTATTAATTATTGTAACTTGTGTACTTTCTACGTAATTTTTACATAATATATATTACTCTTTTTTTCACAATTTATGCTGCACAAGCGGAATTTTCAGAGTCACCAAAAAATAAAATAAAATATTTCTTCTAGATATTTTGTGATTTATAATATTTCTTATGCATTATTCACATAATATATGTTACTCCCTTTATCTTAATTTACGTGGCACAAATAAAAAATCGAGAGTCAACCAAGAAAAAAAATTATTTTATATCTTAAATTGTAATTATTTTGATATATAGTCATTTTCATGTAATTATCAAATATATAACAAATTAAAAAATGAAGTAAGACAAATAAATTAACATAGAGTAATTTTCAAAAGTATTGCTTCTACCACTTATTGATATTTAATACTCAATAATAATTAATTTATCATTCCTAAAATTTTGTTGAAATTTTATGAACAAATTATTTTAATTTTAATATTGTGATTTATTGTCCTTTTTATGTAATTATAAAATATATAACAAATTAAAAAATAAAGTAAGACAAATAAATTAACACAATTTTTTTTCCGAAAGTATTGCTTTTAGCCACTTATTAATATTAAAAATAATAATACTAAAAATTATAATAATAAATTTATCATTTCTAAAATTTTGTTGAAATTTTATGATCAAATTTATTTTTATTTTAATCTTGATAAAAGACGATGTTAAATTCTAAATACATATAAGGAAGAAATAGTGGGGGATGATCGGGGACGTGACACATGAGAGAATTAACTTGGTTGGATTATTGTGTGGTAAAGAGATGACATATGCAAGGGACACTTCGTCCACACTAAAAAAATATACATAGTTGCTATAGTAAGGTCTTCATTCGAATTGAAATTGACTAAAATAGTGTTACCAAAGGTGTGTGCTTATTCCCATTTATAAGATAGTAGTACAAGTAGATGTTACAATGTTTTTTCCCTCTTTTTTTAAAATTCAGTACTATGATTGAATATGGACCAATGTTGTCATAACTTACTGATATCTTTAGTTCCCATATTTTAGAAAAGACTCCTCATCAACTCTCTATCTTTCGAGCCCAGCTCACTGAGCTTAACTCCCTGAAGTAAGAATGTGTTACTGTAACATTGAACAAAAACATAGAGATTAAACCAGAAAACCAATTGTGTATTGTGTGTGTGCATACTGTCTCAGACAATCCTCAAAAAAATAAAAAAAGCCAAAGGTCAAACACAATTTTAAACCTTTAAGCTCCTACTTCCAGACAAATCTGAAATTGGATGAAAAATTAATAAAACCAAATTTAGCTTCAGCATCGACGACATCTGAATCTCACATCTAGGTCCAGCCTCAGCCATAATAGCAAGGGGAGAGGGAGACCGGTGTGCATGCTTCTCCAAGTTCAAGAAAAGTGATTGTATTTTTAAACATTACATAAATTTGTTGAAGGAAGAAAAAAACAACATTTGAACTATAGTATAACAGAAAATCCATCATAAATTAATCCCAGTTCTACAGCAACGCCATCAGAATCCCATCGACACATATAGGAATCCAGCAGCAAAATATGTGGAAGTACAGAAGTAAAGGAATTTATCATTCTTCAGCGGCACTCGCAGCACTTAAGTCCACATTGAGGTCAAGAACCTGAACAAGATAAACAATTGAGTCAACTGAGATAGTTCCTTCAAAGCTCAATATAGTTATTACAAATAATGCCACCTTTTAAATGAAATCTTGCGACCGAAAAGTAGAATAAGCTACAAGTCTTGTTTTCTTTGGCCTCCATTACCACCCAACTTCCCCCCTTTACTCCTGGCAGCAGGAAGAGAGTAGCGGAGGAAACAGCAATTGCCTAGGAAAAGTACCTTTTGATGCAATAACGGTACATCTAGAAAAGTACCTTAGATTCACATGCTAGTAACTATGCTTCATATTATCTATGTGGGCACCGGTACAAGCAACGTATACCTACACCTTTACCACACGAATTGGAGAAGGGCGCAAGAAGACAAACAAAAATATAGAGCTATGACAAATTAATAGCATCAAATATACCTTTGTGAACTAACCCAAGAAAGCACACGTAGATCATGATTGAAAAAAAGAAAAAGAAAGAAATCAACATTTTAGTGCGATTTAACTAATTAAGTTATGTTCTCAAGCCCTTTATTTGTGGAATAAAGGCCCGCAATCATCAAGAAGGGGGATTTAATGTCAATGTTCATCAAGATTTTTGAAGGACACAGATATTCTGCTGAACTTTCCTAACTCAACTAATTCAACTTTAGTCTCTTTCCTTGATTAAAAGAGTACTACAAGCAGAGACTAGAGTTTTTTTTTTTTGATAACCCAAAGGTAAAGGAGTTTTCTGGACAGGACAATATGTCCCTTTTCTGAATTTTCAAAATTAGTGTCCACTTCATGAAAATAGACTTCTATTCTTCATCCCATATACTCCTTCCACAAAGGTTATCCTTTTCAGAGAAATATACAGCAAAACACAGAAAACTAAAATGTATACATCAGAAAAAATGGTTAACCCAAGTTAAATTTTGCAAATAACATTTAAATGTTAGCAAGACATGCTTCTGAGACAGCACATTGCGAAAAGAAAGTTCAGGCAGTAAACGGCAAAATGTCTAAGCCACTTTTCACAAGTAGAATATTTTGGAATTTCGAAGTTTTCGAAGTGTGTTGGCAAAAGAGAAGCTATCTGCAATGACAATTAGATCTGTCCCAGTATTCTCTAAAGTACGTAATGGAAAGACCAAAGTCAGGTAAATAATAACTCAATACCTTTCCAGTTATTTTGGTGTACAAATTGAGCACATCATCTACAGTCGACTCAAAGTGAGTTGTGGCATCATAGCTCTGTTCAAAATAGAGAATACAATAAATTTATGTTAGGTTATCTTTCTGAAGTATGATTTTCAAAGTAAAACTTAAGAGAGACTCACAGTTGAAACAAAACAATTGTCCAAGGTGCACTCATTGACAGGTTCAGATCGGTCATAAGTTTCATAGACGATCTCATCCACTGGTCCTAGAAGACTGACGCCCGGCTTCAGTTCATTCTCTGGGTTATCAGTTTCTGCCTCTGTTGAGACAAATGCAATGAATTTCCCCTTTGGAGCAACATTATGAGTGTAAGAACAGCAGAACAGGTACCTGAAGAACCAAATGTTAGGCATAAGGTATGTAAGAAGACTCTAGTTCTTAATTGTTATGAGTTTTTAAAAAGAACTACTCTGAACTGAGTGATAGTGCTGGATCAAGCCTTTTAAGGAAAACACTCAGTCTTCAGGACCCACTCAAAAATTAATCAACGAGGTTAAAATCTCCAAATAATATATCAGTCCAATTGGCATATACTCCATAAAAAAGTTTACCGACCACCCATTTAAATGACCGAAACACAGCTTGACCTGTCCAAAAACAAATTTTAAGTGCCATAACAACACCCACCAGCCCACAAACAGAAGCAGAGAATAGTGTAAAGAGCTACAAAAAAAAAGGTCCCCATGGCCTTTTCTGCCTACAAGTGAATCTTGATGATAGGGTGCGTATTGAGAAGCATGTACAATACAACCAAAAAACCCAATATAATCCACAGGTGGGAGTGTACAATAACATGAACAAACCAGAAAGACATGAGAGGAAGGGGAAATATTTGAAAATGCGAGACTGCAAAAATTAACTAATTAATGAAATATGAAAAGGCAGTCCACATCCATTTCTTAGGGGGCAAAGGAGATCTGTATATTTTAGCAAATTGTGGAACTAACGATCTTTTACTAATGAATGTAACCACATTGAACCAGGCTTTCACATGAAATATTTTTCAGTACTCAAGTAAAAATCAAGTTTGACTAATATGCCTGTTTAGTAAATGAATGAGCATGTATTGAAGTAAACTTTATTTGCGAATAGTTTGTTATATTTCCAGCTCAGCCCAGAGAATATAAGTAAAGTTTTTCTAAGATACTACAATACTTACATATCTGATTTGCGACCCAACTGCTTCTGAGGTAGGATAATCTGCACAGAGTGAGACTCGCTGGTATTTGGTATTGGGTGGCTCATAATTGCGATAGCTCTTGCAACTTTGCCAACCTTCCTCACCTGCAAATAGCTTATTTTGTGTTTAGTAACTCATCCAGCCACTTATAAACAGGTCAAGTATCCTCATAACAAGTAGTTTGACTACTTCCACTTATAAACAAGTGAAATCTAGATTGCTAGGAAACAGGTATATCATGTATCCATGATCTACCCTTACTTATACTCGAAGATCATGCCGGGTATTATAGATCCAGAAGCCTATTCAAATTATTGGCAACAGAGCAGTTATCTCAACAGGTAGAAAAACATTACCTTGGAGGGCAAGTAGGAAGGATCACATACAACTTTCTTGCACTTTGCAGTTTCCCCTTCTGAAGTAACACCACAGACCTTTCCTTCTTCATCAAACTCTACCTGGGATTTGAAGATAGCATCTTCAGAGGACTTAAAATTACATAAATATTTCCTTTTGCAAAAAGGTACAGAGCGGAAATACCACCTTGCATTCAGGTTTATTCAACATGTAGGTCCCACCATACACAGCACTCAATCGAGCAAATGCCTAAATTAGCAAACAGATGTTAACAGTGACAATTATATTGAATAAAAAGAAGTTGGAAAGTACAAAACATTAGCATGAGGGTAAACAAGAAAATGTAGTGAGGAACTAAAGGCAGTACCTGGGGGAGCTCTCCTAATCCATACAAAGGATAAATATATGGCGATCCTCCTTGGAAACGAGCAAGAGACTCAGCATAGAGCTGTCATATTATAGAGAACAAAAACTTCACATATCCACACAAACCTTAAATAACATTAGCAGGAAATTCAAAAGAAAAATATTGAATTTCACCTTCATTCTCTTCACAGTATCCACTGCTGGTTCATCTAAGTAGCGGTCATCTCTATGCAGTGCCAATGCATGACCAATGAAGTC